AATGTTGTCCACCTGGGTGCTGGCCTGGTTGGTCTCCCTGAGGACCTTGTCCACAGCGCTGGATCCGACCCTGGAGGGGACATGGAGAGACTGGAAGGCCACTCACAGTAAGGAATATGGCCTGGTGAGTTTGCTCCACTAGAACTCAAATCAATCTCTCCTTAATTAGTTTCCATCTGTCGCTTCTTGTCCTGCCTTCTGGTGCTCTGGAAAATAAGTTGACTCTCTCCTCTTCTTTGTGGAAACCCCTCAAAGACTGGAACAGGCTGTCAGGTCTCCCCAAATCCTTCTTTTCTCTAGACTAGCCAAACCCAGATCCTTCAAACGTTCTTCGTATGTTTTAGTCTCCAGGCCTTTGAACACCTTAGTTGCTCTTCTCTGAACTTTTTCCAAAGTCTCAACATCTTTTTTGTAGCATGATGACCAAAATTGGTTGCAGTATTTCGGGGGTGGTCTCCCTAAAGTTTTATAAACCAGTATTAACACTTTGCGTGATCTTGATTCTAGGCCTCTGTTTATACAACCCAGGATTGTGTTAGCTTTTTGGGCTGCTGCCGCACATGGCTGGCTCGTGTTTAAGTGATCGTCCACTAGGACTCTAAGGTCCCTCTCACAGTGACTGTTTTTCAGCCAGGTCTGACCTAATCTGTGCTTGGACCTGTGTTTTATTTCTGCCTAAATGTAAAACTTTGCTTTTCTCCATGTTAAAACCATTGTTCAAGTTTGTCAAGATCTTTTTGGATCCTGAGCTTGTCTTCTGGGCTGTTGGCTGTTCCTGTCAGCTTAGTGTCATCTCCAAATTTGTGGAAGGGAAGAACCCTCGTTCTAGGCCTGCCACTAGGTGCCACTAGGTGCTTAGACAACGGGACTAAAATAGATCTTCTTAATCCTGGCTGCCCATCAGGGGGAAGAATCCTTTCGGAGAGCCGTGTGGGAGGAGAATCTGAGGATGATCCACGACCACAACAGCCAGGCTGAGCAGGGAAAATACACCTACAAACTCGGGATGAATCACTTTGGTGACCTGGTACGTGTGGATCAAGGCTAGTTTGATTTATTCAATGGACATAGATGTCGGTTTGCTTAGTTTCTATAGTTGTTTCATTCCTTCACTCCCGCCATCTCAGTCAATGACTCTGGGCAATTCATGAATTCAATTAATTGATTATATCCTCCCTTCATCTCTTTTTCTGCAAATCATTCAAGGTGGTGAACATCCCCAAGATAAATTTCTCCTCCCATTTTCCCAACAACAACCCTGTGGGGTGGGTGGGGCTGAAGGAGACGGGCTGGCCCAAAGTCACCCAGCCGGTTTTCATGCCTAAGGCAGGACTAGAACTCACCGTCTCCTGGTGATTGGCCCAAGGTCACC